TAGAAGACCAAAGAGAAAAGTCTTTGCCAGCAGAGTAAATATACGTGAGGTCTGTCCTTTCTTGTCCTCTGGAGTTTATTTCTTTATGGCATGCATTTTATTCACATTAGCAAGGGTAGAAATGAAATAAAACAAAGTGATAAAAAATAAAGATTGGATGAATCAGAGCTGAGGTCCTTTGGGAAAACTATCCTGAGACAGCAATGTCCTCTGGAGTTTATTTCTTTATGGCATGCATTTTATTCACATTAGCAAGGGTAGAAATGAAATAAAACAAAGTGATAAAAAAATAAAGATTGGATGAATCAGAGCTGAGGTCCTTTGGGAAAACTATCCTGAGACAGCATCTCCCTGGGAAAACACGCAACACTGATTTTTCCCTTAGGAGCAAGACTAAGACCAAAGCAAAATATGCACTTCTGTCCTGATTGCACCAAGGAGCTGTAAACAGCACAAAATAATGGGAGGAAAAATGGAGAATGGGTGAAGACAAGCTACCATGTAATTAATGGAGTAGAAGGAATCATATCATGTTCCTCTCCCACACATTCCCCTTAAATGAACTATTTCCCACCCAAACGGAACAGCTAGGCACTAACTGTGAGGAAGATTTCGGTGCTTAATTCTTACTTGCTCTGGTACAGCATGACTTAGGCAAACAGCTCTAGCTCTCTCATGAATATTACTATATTGCTACTTCTCAACTTAATTCAACCAGTTTAACAAATCATCAAAACTCTTCTATCTTCCAGGTGCAATAATAGAGGTTAGAAATATCATAGCAAACATGAGAATCACAGCTTTTATCATCCAGGAGTTCATAGACACACAAGAATCTCCTCAAATGTAAGGCTGATTCTAATGAGAGACAGGAAGTGAAAGAGACAGTTGGTGAACATGGGGTAAACCTGATCAGCACCATGTTAGCAGAGGTTCTCAAATTTACCGAGCAGGAGTACTCAGTAAGAATGCATATTCCTGGCCCCTGATTTAGGGCCCGGGAATATGCACTCTAACAAACATGTGTGGTGCATCCTGATGAATGTACTCCAGGAGCACTACATTTTAAGACACATTGGTTAAGGGTTGGCTTCAAGCTGTGCTGCCACACTTTTGCTCCCAAGACTAACGGACAATCCCCAGAAGAACTGCTCCTTGCAAACTAGGTTGAGTCTCTACACTGTTTAATTAGTGCATAATCTTGCTATGGATCCTGTCCATCTACAAAACAGTGTTTCCAAACTTGATTGTTTTTAAAAAAGGAAGTAATTGAGTTTTAAGTTCACGTATGATAGCTTGGCAATATTGACTCTAGAGGTTCACTACAAATACATATAATAACAAAATATAATCCCCTTTACCAAAAATAAAACCAACTTACAATCATGAACATACACCCACCCCAGAAAGTAGTTCAAAGCACTTCTTTACCTCTTCCATGGAGTAGACTTCAGCCACTACAGAATCCACTTCAAAAATCCCTTCTCACTTTCTCTAGCCCAGTGATCTCTTTGGTATTTTCTATTCCTCTGGCCCAAACTAGGTGTCCCAGTACCAGTCTTGAAGTTCTGCCTGTTGCTCTTGACACCATAGTGAGGATGAGGTTGGCATATCCTTACTGTGTATTTCTGGGAGAAAGCTTTAAATCGTCCCTTTTGTTAAGAGTGGATCATCTTCAAGGCAAACTATCATCTCCACAATTTTCATGTGGTATTATGCTAACCAAGTTTCCACCTCTTTATTTTACCAAAGATTATCTTAATTCCACGGAATATTGAGGCCAAGATAGATGCAAAGTAGGGAGGAAGAGAGAAAAAATATCTCATCAATCCCAGATAGGGGGATGTTAATTTCTACATCAATTTCCACTGGCTAATGCCTTGACTAGCTCTCAGCATGAAAGGAGCCTTACAGTGGAGGGAAGAAAAAAAAAATAACCAGTAGAGCAGGAGCTATTAATAATAATTGAGCCTGTCACCTCTAAATATCCAAGGACCAACCTGAAAAAGAAAGCATCAAAGGTCATATCACCCTGCAAAGAAATCTTCATAAGAAGCTGATCTTTACTCAGGTCTAGGTCACCTCCAAATTGGAATTGGAGAGGAGATTTGGCCCAATGGCGAATAGATTAATCTCTGCTAGTGACATCTTAGTAACAAGAGTTCTTTAAGTATCCAGGGATGGGGTAGGAGGATGGATACTGGCCCCTGAGAAATTTTTAGATGTAAAAAGTCACATTCCCAGCTGAAACTTTATGCTATTTTATGCCCCCAAAGTTTATTTCCATTTTGCATCACTCCTCAAGGAAACTGAGTAGTAAACTTCAAATTGTACTAAACACCTGGTCAGACAAACTGAAAATCAGATTTAGCTCACACTGTAAGCCCAAATCTTATTCTCTTAGGAGAAAGTTGGGTTGCTGAAGCAGTCCACTGATATTTAAAATATCTGGGGTAAACATCACAAGGCAGTTAACATATTGATGACCCTATTTCTTAATAGCAAACCATTAGGTGATATACCCGACTCAAAAATAACTGGAAATGCAGGGAATAAAAATATTTAACAAGTAACTCAAGCCATTCTCTCATATTCTAAAATCATTTACAGAAACATATGCATAGTTTTAATTCTCCCTTTTCACTCATCATTAACTTTTCTCAGAGAGAAAGTTAAATTGAATGTGTGATATGTCTAACCAATTTAAGTAATGTTGTATTTAACAATTTAGTTTTATTATTGTATTATTGTGCTTCTAAATACTTTTATGGCAAGCTGAAACCATAGCATCAGACTTCCTAAAAATTGTGGAAAAGCAAGTCATTGGAGTAACTGTTCCAGAAATGTGAAGAGGCTCTAGAATTCAGCTCAGCAAAAGCAAAGAAATTATAATACTTTCTGTCTAAATGCATTTCTGGAAAAGAACTAATCAATCAAATTTTAATTATCTTCTATACTCCTCTCCGCTTATCCCCAAATCCTATCATTTTCTTCTACATTACACTAAAGTAAAGAATTTTTGCTTTAATGCAACAAGTAGAGGTGTTAATAAATGTTGCAGACCTAAGTCAAAATAATATTTGTTTGGCAGTTATCAAGTATAATGACTGCAGAGACAAAACTATCCCCCAAAATACAAGACAACATTTTTAAAAGACTTGGAAAACCAAATGCTTGAGATTCAAAAAGTCTAACTCCTGTAATCTGAAAAAAATAAACAAAAACCAAAAATAAAAGAAGAGGTAAATTATAAAGAATAGATAATTATAATTCCCTCCTGGTCTTACAACAAAATCTTTTATTAAGATTTCCCAGACACAAGGGAGCTTTTCTGCTAGCAGAGGAGAATCAAGTTCAAGTAGGAAATAACCTTTTTAAAATAAAAGAACAAGTACAGTGGGACAAAGTTCACAGGAAAAGACAGAGCCGGCCACAAAATATTTCCCATACCTAATAAAATTAGGACTTTTATGGTAAAATAAAACAAACCAAAACAGAAACAGTTCTTATTCCCAGCTTCCCAAAGAAATCATTTCCAAAGCCAGATACTCAATAAATTCTCAATAACATGAACCTGTGGCAGAATAACATTTAATTTCTGACCATTTCCATCTATTAGGTTTACATTTGCTTTTTGTTTGTTTAACAAAAAGTAACCCTTAGTACTCAATTCAATAATACCCAATCCTTTTGTTCTTGGATGGAAAAGCACATATGTGGTCTAATAACTCTTTAATCCATTTTCCTAAATGTCACGAACATGCTTCACCCACAGTTTATTACCTGATATCACTTTTTTTTGTAGAATGATGATATTATAGGCAATGGATGACAGCAGAATGGGAGAGAGAGAACTAGCCCAGCACCAGTTCTTTGTCAGACAGGGTTCAAACTATGATAACAGTGCGTTATAGTTAAAAGAAAGAAGCTGATAATATTGCCCTTGGTCCTGTAATAAAAGGTGTGCCTCGTCACCTCTCTCCTATTGAAATGAGGTTGCGATGGTGATGGTGAGAGAAGCAACAGCTATAGTGGGAGTTCACTATCTTGTTAGGGACCTGCATTTACTAACCATCAGCTATGTACACAGGAATATAATTAATATTTACACAGCAATTTGCAGTTAATTAAAACATTTTCAGATTATTTTATTTAATCCTCATGAGGAAGGTTTTAGCTAGATGATTAATTCCAAACTTATAAATAGGATATGCCAGAACCAGGATCCACAGCCCCCCGGCCAATGTACCTTTCATGACTCACCACGCCTATGCAGT